CTCTTTCCTGAACCCAAGATTTCTGTCTGCATTTTCATCAGGCTAGAAAAATCTCCACTGTCACATCAGGTGGGCCTGGAGGGATTCTGGAGGAATTTATATTCACCATCTTTTCTTCTGGAATAGATGATGAAACCTAGGTGTTGCCTTATATTCAAGTAAATGCGGTACTCTCAAACTAAGACTAGATTTGTTTTTGAAAGCAACTGTATGACATAATTCCCTGAGATGCCTTATGGTCCAATATTTCTAACTCTGTCCTGTTGCCAGTGAATGCTCGTTTTCCGGCACCCACTTCCAACATTTCATTGTCTTACCACCAGAAATAGATAGCACATCTCCTACACAGCTCTGTGGCACTACACCCCTACAGGAATTTTTTAAAGATACTGAGCCCTGAGTAATGCTTTCATTTCTTAGTCAGGTTTATCCGTGGCTGTTATTTCCTCCAGTGTTTTTTCTGACCATAGAGAGAGCACAGTTTATGCCACTAGACTGATTATGTCAGCTTGTCATTTCTGTTTAATTACTCTGAGTTTATCGAGATACATCACTCAGCTTTTCCTCCCAAAATCCTTGCAGATATTGTTGCAGTTTCAGCTGAAGATGTTGAAAATATTGTAAAAAAAAAAACAGTGTATTTTTTTTCTTGCAAGTTTTGAAATGTAGAAATAATGGCATTGTGAATCTGAAACCTTTCTTGGCAAAACTGTACTTGCATACAAGTCTTCTTTTCTAGTGTGTCCTCCGTGGATCACCTCTGAGAAACCACATGCTTTTTCAGTCATATTTACATGATAGATAATATGGTCTGCATTTTCAGAAAGAGTAAGTCATAGCAATCATAATGCATTTTTCTTTTTGATAACTCCTGCCAAACCAGACCAAGCTGAATTCTAGTAAAACTAACAAATTCCAAGCATCACCCATGATTTCTGTGTCCATTCTTCCTATCTTCAAAGTAACAGGTTAATATTTTTATTTCTCAGGGTCTGAAAGCTTGTAGTGTATGAAGTACTCATTCACTAGTGAAGTTATGAGATTGCCTTAAAATAATTAGCCGCTGGTTTTAGCAATTCTTCTTTCATACTTATTTTTTAAAAGTTCTTGTAGATATTCCAATAAGAGCATCTGTGAATATTTGAATAAACTGCTTAATTTTCTGCCTGAGCTTTCCTTCTTAGAGGTGAGTTTTCCTGAGACTTTGAAAAAGTCATATTTGGAAAAAGTTATGCTGTATTTCTATAAATCTTTCCATCAAGAACATCCAGAATTTCCAACTATTTCCACAGAGTTTCCATGCACTTGGGCTTCAGCTGCTGCTGAGAATGAATTCCTAGCATATACAACATTTTTTCTCCATGTGAAAAAATGTTAAACAAGCTTCAAGAAGCACTAATATCTTCATGATGTGAAGCAAAAAATTTAAATTTGGCCATAAAAACTCTGTATATTTTTTTTTCATTTTTAGTCTTCTTCCATTCCTCTAGTGGTTTGGTCCAATTTACAACAGGCTGAACTTTGAAAAAAAAAAATTACTTTTCACACACTTGGGAATTTATCTACAAAAAGTGCCATTCTGCAGCTCAGGCTTAAGAGAGAAGATGACTTTGAGACTGGAACCAGCTTGATAAAAAGTCAGACCAGCTTTTCACAGTATGGGAAAACAGTCAGGAGTCCAAGTGGAAACCATGACTAAGGACCAGAGAGACAAATGGCAGGCAAAAGAGTGGGAATCAGTGAATCAAGAATGAAACAGAGATCAGGTAAAGACCCAGGGCTAAAATCCAGTGAGAAAAGCTTGAAAAAGTTTAAGAGGCAGGGCAACTTGATTGGATGAAAAAACAGGGTGGGAAAAATCTAAGCTGCAGGGTAGAAGGGAGGCTTCAAACTGGTAGGGCAGTGAATAGAGAAGTCTGATGTTTAGAACGTCAAACTGGCAAGTCAAAGATAATACAGACCTGAGGAGTCAAAAGACGAGAGGGTGAAATGGAGTGTGATAGAGGGGCAGAACTGTTCAAATCTGATGGGTGAAACTGAAGTCTGCTAAGCAGGCAGGTGTTTCCTCCAGATGCAAGTAAAGGACCCAGCATGTCATTCCTCTGCTGTCAGAACAAAGCAGTAAACCCCACAGGCTCCATCGGCATTTCACCCCTGTCCAGTGCTGCCTGGGCAATGGTGGTAAACTCTAAATCCTACTAGTTATTCTGAAGCATCAAGTAACAACATGGCTCCATCCTGCCGGTGGCCCACGTGGACCATATGAGGTCACAGGGTAGGATCTGTCTTTATGGTTCAGGTTTTTAAAGGACATTCAGAGATCACACTGAAAGGTTGTATCATTAGGCTCTCAAGGATTAGAAATGCCACGAATGAGGATGTACAGGCAAAATTTGTAATTTCCTTGTGTGTATATACATACATTATGATGAACTAATGACATGACTGGAGCTATTTTTTGCACAGAATTCCTACTGCGTTCAGTAAACAGGACGGACCGATCCGCTTGGAAGACGATCTGCAGTGAAGGAAAACCTCCCTCTAAGAAGCCTTGTGTATGGCATTGCTTGGAAGGTAGGCATTTCCTAGTGGAAACTTAACCTCTACCTGCCCGGAACAAAAGGCTTGTACTATAAAGGCTCTAAGAAGAGCCACAGAAGTAGGTTTTAAGTGGAAGAGGAAGAGAAATTAAATGAAGGAAGATGATTTTATAGTTACAGGAGCCAAATTCTGTTCAGGGGAACCGAACTCCTGCTTGCTACAATACCTGCGTAATTCCAGCTGAGGGATGACTTTAAAGTTGGCAGGAGGGCTCTCTATCTTCTGGGAGACTCGAGATGTTGGGAATACTAGTCATTAGGATTTCTGTTTCAGCAGACTGAAGGATACATAAAGTGAACATAATGCATGCACAAAAGCAGCTGAATAAAATTACACAAGCAGCATCATTCCTGTCGTTTCCTAACCCTGATTCCTTGGCTTTCTATTTGAATTCTGTTGGCATTGTCTGGCATAGTTTTTTCTATGTCTATGACTTGTGCAAATGGGTTGAGGTTTTCCTTCTTACAAATCAGTGAAATATAGAAATCAGACTGGATGTTACCTTTCTCTTCTGTCTCTGCTCCCATTTTCTTCTGTGTTTTATGTTTCCCTTTGTCTTTTCAGTGTACTTTTACACTCTTGATTGTACTAATCATAGAATGGTTTAGATTGGAAAGGACCTTGAAGATCATCACGTTCCAACCCCCCTGCCATGGGCAGGGATACCTCCCACTAGACCAGGTTGCCCAAGGCCACATCCAGCCTGGCCTTGAACACCTCCAGGGATGGGGCCTCAACAGCCTCTCTGGGCAAC